ATCAGACCAGTGAGGGTCCCTCTAGCCCAGCATCCTGACCAGTGTTCCCTCTAAGCTGAGTTAGTGTGAGCTAGTTCACAATTTTTTAGCCTCCGGCTCTCACATTTTTGCCTTCGCTCAGGGAGGAGGGCTCCAGAGAAAACTAATTTATGCAGTAACCATATTGCTCCCTCACAACTTTAATGCCAGCAGCTCACAAAGTAGAATTTTTGCTCACAAGACTGTGCAGCTTAGAGGGAAGATTGATCCTCACTTACACGGTGGCCAACCAGTTCCTCTGGAGGGCCAACAGCAGGACACAGAGGCTGAGACCTTCCCCTGACGTTGCCCCCTGGCTCTGCGATTCAGAGGTTTCGTTCCTCTGAATGTGGAGGCTCCCTTCAGTCCCACGACTAGTAGTCACTGACAGACCTGTCCTCTGTGGATCTAATCCCCCTCTTATTCCTGTGGCAGCAAATTCCACATTTCAATCACTCGCTGTGGAAAGAAGCCGCAATCTCTCTTACCCTTGAGGCCACGACAAGGGCTCTCTTCCCCACAGGGCAGACCACCAGGATCCACTGTTGCGCCAGATCCGGAGGGACGTCGATCAGCCATTCGGACAGCATCAGCTAGAAGAGAGGGAAAGAAAATCCTGGGGCCCTCTGAGCACCGCCGCTCCCCTTCCCTGACTACTTACCTGGTTGGCGTAACGCTTTGGCAGCTTCTTCCTCACTTCGACCTCCATGCCTTCGACGTCCTCCTCGGCCGCCTCCTCTTCCTCCTTTCCATCCATCCCCGTCCAGTCATCCTCTGCCAATCTCCTTGCGTGGTTCACGTAATCCAATCGCTTGCTTTGGAGCAGAAGAAACAAAAAGACCAAAAGGGGTTTCTCTCCCTCAGAAAGGGCATCATGTACATACATTAATTAAAATTACAATCTATTGCCTCAACATGAGAGATCAGAATTGAGTGCAATCTAATTGCCTGAGATCAAAATGTGGCAACTTTGCGGGTAATCTCTGTATTTGTGTCAGAAAAAAACCATATTAATAATCCCGGATTCAGCTGTAACTGAACAATGTTTGAGTAGCGGAAGGATAAAAACGGTGCAAATATTAAAAAAGGAGCATCGGAGAAAAACGTGTGCCAACGTCTCTATCTCACCTCCGTTACAAGGACAAAATCTTTCCTCCCTTGGAAGTTTGAGCTATTTACCATCTAGAACTGCAGATGGTAGAGCAGAAAGTCCTTTTTACTGGAGATGCCAGGAATTGAAACTGGGACCTTCCGCAAGAAAAGTAGATGCTCTTCCAGGGTCCCAGATCAAGGTTTTTTCCCATCCCCTCCTGCCTGGTCCTTTTAACTGGAGATGCCGGGGATTGAACCTAGGACCTTCTGCATGCCAAGCAGATGCTCTTCCAGGGTCCCAGATCGAGGTCTTTCCCATCACCTACTGCCTGGTCCTTTTAACGGAAGATGCCGGGGGATTGAACCTGGGACCTTCCGCATGCCAAGCAGATGTCCTGCCACTGAGCCACGGCCCCTGCCTGATCTCAGCTCAGCACTGAAAGGGGAAAATGCCCCTAACGCAACTCACCTCCAGGGCCACTTAAAAGATTAATTAATCGTTAGTATTATGAAATATTATTTAGCATGCACCATTACCGTGCCCGTCCCAGGGATCCACCATGACCCCGGCATGTGCAATTTCATACAAGATGCAACGTTAGGGTTGCCAGGTTCCACCGGGCAATTGGCGAGGGATGGGGGACTTGCCAGGACTGGGAGGGAGGCCCAGCAGATGTAGTAATGACACGTCTACATCATTTCCGACGTGACCCGGAAGTGACACCATCATGTAGTGTCGTTGGGGGCAATAGTCTGTTATTTGGGCAAAAACTCAATGGTATATTTGGCTTCTACCATAGAGTTCCCCCCCCCAAATACTAGAGTGTCGCCCCAATGTTACCAAAGGTGATGACATCACTTCTGGGTCACATCAGATGTTATGTAGACATGAAGAAGAAGAAGATGAGACAAGAAAGAGAAGAGAGGAGGAGAGGACAGAGAAGAGAGAAAAAGAAGGAAGTAGAGAGAAGAAGAGATTGGATTTATATCCCGCCCTTCACTACCCAAAGGTGTCCCAGAGCGGCTTACAAACTCGTTTCTCTTCCTCTCAACAGACACCCTGTGAGGTAGGTGGGGCTGAGAGAGCTCTTGACAGAAACTGCTCTTTTTCAAGAACAGCTCTTATCAGAACTATGGCTTGCCCAAGGTCATCCAGCCAGGTGCAAGTGGAGTAGGGAATCAAACCCAGTTCTCCCAGATTACAGTCCACGCACTTAACCACTACACCAAAAGAAAAGAAGAGAGACGGAGAAAAGAGAAGACAGAAGGAGAAGAGAAGAAGAAAGAAGAAGTAGAGAGAAGAAGAGAGAATACATTGGAGAAGAGAGAAGAAGAGAAAAGTAGAGGCCAGCTGACAGACGAACCAAGGCCCCACTGGAGGGTCTCGCAACCCTATGCAACGTTTGTCGCTCCAGGCACAATCCTAACCTTCCAGAGCCAGTGCTTACGTTTTCTGAAGTTCCAGGAGGCGGCGCCTTCTCTCGGCCTGCTCCAAGGAGCTGTACTTGGCCTTGTACTGCCCCAGGCGGGGGTGGGGGGCCACCGTGCTATTGAGGTCCTGAGACACGCTGAAGTTGCAGGCCAGAGCTTGGCTTAGCTCCTCCATTTCGCCTGCCGGGGGAAGAAAAGATACAGGAATAAATGACTCAGTGGAGTCGGAACGCGTCTCCTTCCGCTTGGTCCTCATATACCAAAAGACAAAAGCAGCCGGCCAGCCTAGGGAAGCCTGCCTCCTTCGGACCCCGCACCGTTCCTCATCAGGATCACGTGCGAACAACACGCTTTGCAAAAAGTAAGAGTTTCGCTCCATCCCACAATGTTTGTGGGATAATGTTTTTACTGGACACCGGCCAGGGATGGGATTGCGAGATCCAGGTTGGGAAACTCCTGGAGATTTGGGGATGGAGCCCGGGGAGGACAGGGATCTCAGTGAAGTACAATGCCACAGAGGCTACAGGCCAAAGCATCCACTTTCTCCAGGGGAACTGATCTCTGTAGTCTGGAGATAAGCTGTAATTCCAGGGGATCTCCAGGTCCCACCTGGAGGCTGGCATCCCTATTTCGTGAGAACATTTGCACAGAATTCTGCAGGAAGGGCGCTTTCTTGAAAGATAAGAGAGTTCTGATTTTAATCGGTTCTGAATTTTTTTTAGTCGTTTCCTTTCCTCCCCGTTTACACCGACTGCATCGTTTACCGGAAATACCCTATTGCCATTTATTCTACTCTTTCTCATAGTCTTTCTCATCCTACTTCATTCTAGTCTTTCTAATCCAACTTCTTGGACTGCCGTTTTCTCATCAGGGATATCCAGTTTATGGGACGTACTTTCTTATGTTGTTGTTCTTTTCCATTTCGTCTGACACTCCCACTCACTTTTTAATTGTTTTTACCAACCTAGCAGTTTGAAAGCAAGAAACTGCAAGTAGATAAATAGGTACCACTTTGGTGGGAAGGTAACAGCGTTCTGTGCGCCTTGGTGTTTAGTCATGCCGGCCACATGACCACGGAAACATCTTCGGACAGCGCTGGCTCTTCGGCTTTGAAACGGAGATGAGGACCGCAACCCTAGAGTCGGAGTCGACTGGCTTTCGAGCAAGGGAACCTTTACCTTTACATAACTATAGGTAAATGTTTCCCTTGCTCAAAAGCCAGTTGAACCTGACTCTAGGGTTGCGGTGCTTATCTCCTGTTTTCAAACCGAAGAGCCAGCGCTGTCCGAATACTGGGTTCTCCGCTGCTCTAGAAAGCAAAACTAGATCTAAACAGGCTTGGGATATAAGAGAGAGAAGTGCCCTCACCCAGACAGCCCAGTCTTCGCTTGGCGTCAACTTTCATGGGGTTCATAGGTGCATCTTACAAAGCAGGTTGTAGACCTCTGATGCCCCTAAGAATACATTAAAGCTTGGTGTAGTGGTTAAGAACAGTGTACTCTAATCCAGGGAACCGGGTTTGATTCCCCACCCCTCCACATGCAGCCAGCTGGGTGACCTTGGGCCAGTCACAGTTCTTGACAAGCTATTCTCTCAAGAGCAGTTCTCTCAGAGCTCTCTCAGCCCCACCTATCTCACAGGGTGTCTGTTGTGGGGAGAGGAAGGGAAGGCAATTGTAAGCCGCTCTGAGACTTCTTCGGGTAGTGGAAAGCGGGGTATAAAAACCAACCCTTCTTCTTCCTTTGTCTTTGTTTCCCCCAAACTTCATTTTATTTTTAGTTTTGTTTTAACTTCTAATTTTGTTGTACACCTCTCAAAGAAAAAAAGGGATACAAACATCCACCCTGTGTAAATAAAGTAAGAGAAGAAGAAGATATTGGATTTATACCCCACCCTTCACTTGGAGTCTCAGAGTGGCTTACAAACTCCTTTCCCTTCCCTTCCCCACAACAGACACCCTGTGAGGTGGGTGGGGCTGAGAGAACTCTGACACAAACTGCTCTTTTTCAAGGACAGCTGTGCCAGAGCTTGTGACTGACCCAAGGTCACATCAGCAGGTGCAAGTGGAGGAGTGGGGAATCAAACCCGGTTCTCCCAGATTAGAGTCCGCACACTTAACCACTACACCAAACTGGCTCTTGGAAAACTTATGCGGCCACCGTAAGCTGATTTTAACTTGAGGGCACTTTCCACCACTACCAAATACATCACTCAAGGGGCAGGAAACCCTTGTTCGTGCAAGGAAGAGAGAGAATATGCTCTGAGCATAGAATCAAAGAGTTGGAAAGGGCCATACATACCATCTCGTCCAACCCCCTGCCCAATGCAGGACCCGCCTAAAGCATCCCTGGCAAATATTCGTCCAACCTCTTCTTGAAAGCTGCAAGTGAAGGGGAGCTCACCACCTCCCTTGGCAGCTGATTCCACCTTTGAACAACCCTGACCGTGAAAGAGTTTCCCCTAATATCCAGCCGGTACCTTTCTGCATGTAACTTAAACCCGTTGCTCCGGGTCCTCTCCTCTGCTGCCAACTGGAACAGCTCCTTGCTGTCCCCAGAAGCAACTGTTGTTGCATGTTTTCGTATTTCAAGGTGGAATCCCAGAAGTAGTGGAAATCTTACTACATCTTCCACTACTCTTAAGATTGCCAGCTCCAGGCTGGGGAATTTTGGGAGACTTGAGGATGGAGTTTGGGAAGGTCATGGTTTGGAGAGGGAGTTTGGTGGTTTGGAAAGGGATGCTGTGACGTCAGCAGTTTTGCGTTTCCTATGGGTTGCCATCCTCCAGGTGGGGCCTGGGGATACCCTGGAATCCCAACTGATCTCCAGACAACAAGATATCAGCCCCCCTGGAGAAAAGGGATGCTTTGGACTAGAGATGTAAAATTTCCAGAAATCCTGACGCTCAGGAAAAACCCTGGGTTTTTTCTGGAAAAAAATTGAAATTTTCGGAAAAATCGAAAAAAATGTTACATTAGAACTTCCTTTTTCTTTTCCAGATTGAAAGTCATTCTGTTACTTTATGAACATAAAATAGGACTACGGACATTTTTACTCGGCATGAAATTATCACAACCAGCATATTAAAAATATAGTGTATCCAAAAAATTATTACAAACAGAATGCCCACCCACATGCAAAAACAAAACCTTTTTCTTTTCTTGTGACAGCAGCACCTCCTAAAGAAAGAAATGCATCTTGTTCTTGCGTGGGAGAGTTCAGTTTGTCACCTAGGACTTGCTTGTCCTCAGTGCACAGAAATGAGATCAATCTGATACCATACATATTGTTTTAGAAATGATTTGGAAAATATCTGAACACCTTGTCCTAAAACATTTTATTCATCGTGTTAAAAGAAAACGTTCCATAATCAATTTTCTTTTCTTTTCATCAATTTTTTCAGAAAAAAAACAAAAAAAAAACCCTTCAGGAAAAAAAACCCTTTTTTCCCTCGCTTTTCCCGCCCCCCCCCCCCCCCGGGCCTATCACATCTCTACTTTGGACCGTGGACTCTATGGCATTAGACCCTGCTGAGGTCCCTCCCCAAAACTTCCAATACTGTAGATGGCAACCCTGGCTCTACTCTCTGAAGCTGCCATGTCCTCCAAGGGAACTGCTGTAATTCTGGGAAGCCTCCAGGACCCACCTGGAGGTTGGAAACCGCAAAGCCTCAGAGCCCACCCAGGGATAAAACACCAATATAGTCACTATACTCCGCGCATTCACGACACGACATATTAATGCTTTAGCTGAACGGGAACACCGCAGCAGGGGAATGGAAAATAAAGCCAACAGACAAATGGGAACCATATCCCCACCCCACTTACCACGGAACCTGCTGCCCCACGAGGGACTCGAACCGGCCAACTCAGAAGCCCAACTCGGCGCCAACAAGGCCCTAACGCGCCGCCGTCGCGCGGCAGCCAATCGGCGTCTTCGCCGTCGTTCGTCGCTCCGTCTGACGTTGAGGGGCGGGGCCATCCCCTGCTTCCTTGCCACCCTTTCCTAGCTGGCGGCGTTTCTATTCGACGCATGCGCGTTGTGTCGTTCTAACAAACGGGAGCTTGCCCGGCCCGGGCTGGAAGTTTATGTGCGGTTTGCAAAGGAGAGGGACGAGGGGGAGGGGGAAGGGGAGTTGCAAATTCAGGTGGCTGCAATTGCAGCCCCAGACCTGGAAGAACGTGGGAATCAGGAGTTCCCGTGTTGCCAGACAATCATGCCAGACCCAACGTGGGCCACACCCGGCAGCTCCCGAGCCCACGATCTGGGCGCCACCAGCTGTTTCGTCTCCCGTTAGGCATACTTTTATCCCTTCCTTCCTCCAGAGGGCGTTCGCGGCTTCCTCTTTCTCCTTTTCACATCAACCCTGCGAGGTAGGCTAGGCAGCCAAGGTATAAAGAAACACACACACGCCACTTTGCAATCCTTTGCATGATTCAGAATTTCAGGAACTGTTTCCCCTTTATTCAGTGGGGCTTAGAACTGCCAGGTCTGGGTTTCGAAATACCTGGAGATTTGCGGGGGATGGAGCCTGGGGGAGGTGGGGTTTACGGATGAGAGGGACCTCAGCAGGGTACCATGTCAGAGAGTCCACCGTCCAAAGCAGCCATTTTCTCCAGGGGAACCGATCCCTCTCTGTAGTCTGGAAACCAGTTGCAATTCCGGGAGAGCTCCACCCAGCCACCTGGAAGTTGGCAACTGCAGTTTACACCAATGCTCCCTCTAAGCTGTGGAGTCATGTGAGCAAAAATTCTACTTTGTGAGCTACCGGCATTAAAGTTGTGAGTGAGTGATTTGGCTACTGCATACATCCGTTTGCTCTGGAGCCACCTTTCCTGAGCGAAAACAAACAATGTGTGAGCTGAAAAAACAGTGAGCTAACTCACACCAACTCGGCTTAGAGGGAACACTGGTTTACACCCATGTACGTGTGCATTGGACAGCAACCTAGCATATTCTGACAGAGCCTGCTTCATCGGATGGGTGAAGTGGTATTCTCGGCGGCAGGTAGGAAAGGGGAAAGCAACGCCACCTACGGAGCTGGGTTCGAACCTCAACAACGACGCCGGCAGAGGGCTGTAGGCTAGCCCGCTGCCGCCACCTAGCGGCCACCCCTGGGATCGCGCCCATTGCCCAGTCTTGGGTCCAGGCGTCCAGTAGGGTCCCAATCCGACCCTGGAACTTCGCGTGAAATTCTCTTCCAACGCAATGGGCGAAGCATTCGTCGGCGGTGCATAGGGTTTGGGTCGCCGCATCTTAAAAAGGAGGCAGAGGAGCTGGGGAGGTTTAAGACAAAGAAGCGAGCGAGGGGTGATAGGACAGAGGTCTCCAAGTCAAAGCTCAAATACTTTGGCCACCAAATGAGAAGGGAGCACTTGCTGGAGAAGACCCTGATGCTGGGAAAGACTGAAGGTCAAAGAAGACGGGGACGGCAAAGGATGAGATGGTTAGACAATGTCATCGATGCAACGAACATGAAATTGAGCCAACTTCAGAGGACGGCGGAAGACAGGAGGGCCTGGCGTGATGTGGTCCATGGGGTCGCGAAGAGTCGGACTTGACTGTGCGACTGAACAACAGCAACAACTCCACGTGGTGCAGGGAAGCGCATAGCACATTCTTCGTCTCCATGACACAGCTTGGGAGCATGCAAGAAAACTGGTTTTGCAGCAAGATGGGAAAAGGCACTAGTTGGCGCGGTGGGTCATCGGGCCGTGGAACTCATTGCCACAAGGTGGCACAATGGCCGCTGGCTTAGATGGGTTTTAAAAACGGATGGTGTAAAGTTGCCAATTCCTGGAGACTTGGGGGTGGGGGATTGCGGAGGGGAGAGACCTCAGCTGGGGTATACAGCCACAGAGAGTCCACCTTCCAAAAGCAGCCATTTCCTCCAGTGGTCTCTATAACCCACGGTGCCATTCAACATCTGGCCCATAGGACTGGCCTGAAGACCAGAAGATGACCGAACTGAAAACGCACGCCATCCACCTTAATAGCATTTAATACTGTGAGCATTTTAAAATGTTTATTGTTGATATTAAGTATGTTGTATGCTATTTTAATGTTTTATGTGAAATCGGCATATTTTGCCGTCTTTTGTAAGCTGCCCAGAGCCTTTTAACCTGTTTTATGCATTGGCATGTGCCCCATTTGTGAGCCGCCCTGAGCCCGCTTGCGGGGAGGGTGCCCCGAAGTTAGTTTATTTAAAACATTGTCATGCTGCCTTTCCATCCATTCAGGGTTCCAAAATAACAAACATTAAAACATTTCAAAAATCACAAAGCGTTTATAATACAAACATATATAAAATATTTAAAACAAGTAAACATATAAACACATATAAACATATGAACACGTATAATATACAAAGTGGTACGAGACCCGCATGACGGAGTGAGCTCCTGTCTCTAGTTCCAGCTCCTGCCAACCTAGCAGTTCGAAAGCAAGACATTGCAAGTAGATAAATAGGTCTCACTTCGGTGGGAAGGTCACAGCGTTCCGTGCGCCTCGGTGTTTAGTCATGCCGGCCACATGACCACGGAAACGTCTTTGGACAGCGCTGGCTCTTCGGCTTTGAAACGGAGATGAGCACCGCGACCCTAGAGTCGGACTCGACTGGCTTTCGAGCAAGGGAACCTTTACCTTACCACCCTTCAAAGTAGCCATTCTCTCCAGGTGAACCGATCTCTGTCACTTGGAGATCAGGTGTAATAGCGAGAGGTTTCCAGGCCCCACCTGGAAGTTGGCAAACCTAAGAGGAGGGGGGTTGGGGTATAACGTAGGGCCTACGGGCACTACGGTCGCGAACGCAACATCTCCTGGTGACCCTAGGCCCCAGGAGGCCAGGCTGGCTGCAACCAGAGCCAGAGTTTTTTTCCGTGGTGGCTCCTACCTGGTGGGATGAGCTCCCGGAGGAGATCCGGGCCCTGCGGGGCCTTGCGCAGTTCTGCAGGGCCTGTAAGACGGAGCTCTTCCGCCAGGCTTTTGAGTAGGAGCCGCCACTACCTCACCATCATTACCTTTACCATCATCATCAACTGGTGGCGCGGCCCCGGGGCCGGGCCAGCTTTCCCGGGCCGCGCCGCCTGCAGAGGGCAGCCGAGGACCTCGCCTCGCCGCCGCCCGCCGCTTCCCAAGCTCGGGCTTTTGCAAACTTTCCAGCTTGGCCTCCTTTGCGTCATGGAAAAGCCGGGAGGGTGAGCGAGGCGGCAAGCGAGGGGTTGCGAGCGCGCAGGGCAGCCGCGCCGCCGGCTGCAGAGAGAAAAAAAGCAGCCACATTTTGTTTGTGTGTGTGTGTGTGGGAGACTGAAAGGGGGAGGGCAGGACTCCGGATCGCTGCTTTGCAACAAGAGGCACCCCCTCCCCCATGCGGGCGCCACCCCGAGCGCAGGAGAGGCGCGCAAAGAAGTGCGCAAAAGGCAGAGGCCGCTGGGCGCGCAGGGCTGGCGCGAAGGGACCTGCGCGGAGAGGAAGGGGACCCCCGCAGACCCTCAAACTGCAACTGGGTCTCGCTCTAGACGACCCCCGTCTCAAGGCATCCTAAAGGGAGAGAGGGAGGGCCGAGCGCCCGGCTGGATGCTGCGCAAGGTGGCGAGCGACGCTTGGATTCCCCAGCCGCCGGGCAGGCTCGCTTTCCGGCTTCCCAACCCTCTTCCCCAGCGGAAGTGGCTCGGCGGCGCTGGAGTCCTCCCCTCGGCCCTCCCCGCGCTGCCGAAGGGGGGGAGAGGCGAACCGACGCCTCCCCCAGCAACCCCGGGGGAAAACTTTGTTGTGATCGGACCTTGGCGCCGGCAGGAGAGGGATCCGGTGGGTTTCCGATCTCGCGTGTATATTTTGCGATTGCTTAAAAAATGATGACTATTATTTTCGGCAAGCGGCGATCGGATTTGCCTGTGGCTTTGAGCGGGAGGCTGCGCTGAAGCGTCCGGGATCCCTTCTCGGGGCTGGTGTTCTTTCGGGCATTGTTGCCTGCCGAAGCCAGAGCCGAGCCTGAGGTTTGTCAATTTTGTCAATTTCAGGTGGAAACTGACCAAAAAGAAGGAAACTGACCTGTCGGCCGGCAAGGATTTGACGCTGAGCCGGTGGACCTGAATAACAACGCTTTCCCCCCAACTGGGAGCTGTTTTGGAACACAGGAACCACGCGTTTTTGTGCTGGAAACTTCTCTTTCCTTTTTCTTTTTGCCCCCAAGATCTCTGATCCTGGGATTGGGGGCTGTGGGGAGGGGTCGTGCATGGCCCAAAAGTTCACCTGGACTTTGAGGGTTGCCCCCGTGAAGGAGGGGGTTGTGTTGTGTTCTTTTCTGGACTCTTAAGGCGTGACCCATTCAATTTTTGGACTGGATTTGCGGCTTGTCTTCCTTCTCCTCCCCCCCCTCCCCGGAGGGTTGTGGATTCCGAAGTGGACCCAAAAGGGATTTACAGGAACTTGCAAACATATTTTTTTTGGGTTTGGATTAATCCGCCAGGGCAGCGAGCTTTCTTCTTTCTCTCCGCATGAAAAAGCGTCTTGCTTCCTTCTCTCTCTGGCACCCTGGTTGTCTGTCGCTCTGGATACACTTTTCCCAAAGCTTTTTTTAAAAAAAATCTTGAGAAAAGAGGAAAATCTTGGATTTTTAAAAAATCGATGGCAACAGTTAATCTTTGCATGCAATTTCCATGTGAATAGAAAAGGGGGGAGGAAGTTGGTGCAGGTAAAACCGGTTTGAGAGGGAAAATCGACACGGCGATGCCAATTTTGTGGTTATCTGTGCATCTGGATGAGGCCCTGTGTATCACCTAAAACCAGGGGTCAAAAATGCTGCTCTGTTTGCCCGGAGCGTGTTTTCCTTAGCCGAAGTGCACAGACGGCAGGATCGCTGGGATTTATAAACCTTGGTGCTAATCTGTGAGACATATTTATATTGTTCTTCCTCCAGGAGAATCTGCGAAACTCTTTATCTTCTTCTTCTTCACCAAGCAGTGGTGGATTCCGAGGCATAAGGGAAGTGTTGGCAGCACGACTTCGGTATCCGAGGGAGCGTTTTCGGGCCGGGGAGCAGCCATGGCGTTCAAGGCCCGGGCGCTGTACAACTTCCAGAGTGAAAACAAGGAAGAAATCAGCATCCAGGAGAACGAGGAACTGGTCATCTTCAGCGAGAACTCCGTGGACGGGTGGCTGCAAGGGACAAACAGCCGGGGAGAGACCGGCCTCTTCCCCGCGTCCTACGTGGAGATCCTCCGCTCCAGGTCGGCCTCGACGTACACGAACCATTCCAACAGCCCCGGCGGGTCGCCGGCCAACGGGTCGTCCTTCTACGCCTCCCCTTCCAACACCAGCGTCTCCCACCAGGGCAGCTTCGAAGACGACGACGACGACGACTGGGACGATTGGGACGACGGGTGCACGGTGGTGGAGGAACCCCACAGTGGGATGAGCACCAACGGGCACCCGTCCCCCAACCTTCAGCATCCCCGGGCGTACCCGCACCCGAACAACGCGGGCTACCGCCCCAAGCCTGCTTTAGAGAGACAGGACAGCCTGGGCGCTTCCAAAAGGGGCAGCGTCGTAGGGCGCAACCTATTCTCTTCCTTCGTCCGGTCCGGCGTGGAGGCCTTCATCCTGGGGGACGTGCCCATACTGGCCAAGACCCCCGAGGCGTACTACATCGACATGGGGGCCAAGGGCCCCCAGTGGCGCCCCAGCCCCCTCCCTCTGATGTGCTCGGTGGAGGACCCCACCAAGCAGACCAAGTTCAAGGGCATCAAGAGCTACATCTCCTACCGCCTGACGCCCAGCAACAGCCACTCCCCCGTCTACCGGCGCTACAAGCACTTCGACTGGCTCTACAACCGCCTCCTCCACAAGTTCACCGTCATCTCCGTCCCCCACCTGCCCGAGAAGCAGGCCACCGGCCGCTTCGAGGAGGACTTCATCGAGAAGCGGAAGCGGCGCCTGATCCTCTGGATGGACCACATGACCAGCCACCCGACCCTCTCCCAGTACGAGGGCTTCCGCCACTTCCTCAACTGCCGCGACGACAAGCAGTGGAAGATGGGGAAGCGGCGGGCCGAGAAGGA